AAAAAAAAAATTGTTTCTAAATCACACTTTTTGGAGACCCTCCATGGCCACGGTTACTTGCTCGTGGTACAGCGTTAAGTGAATGAAGTGGCAATGCAAGCAGGTTCCCAGGCTACGCGATGGGCCTTACAGAGCTGCCCTCCCTGAATTGTGCATGAGGCCATCAGGCTGCCCTAAGAGGCAGCAGCGAGGAGCAGCCACAGCAAAACTGCCAGCGTGCACCCCTCCAGGGTGCCAAGAAGGACATCGCCAAGCTGGCCACACAGGGTACATAGAACTTTGTTCAATGCATGGGATTGAGAGCTTCCAAGAAGAAAAGTAGAAACACAGCCAGGCCTTAAAGAGACCAAGCCTAAGAGGGGAGACGAGCTTGAGCACGGGAAACAACCAAAACACGATTAATTACAAACCACCCCCCACCCCCACCAATGAAAGGCTGCAGAAAGTTCCAGGATCCTGGGGCAGGAAGAGGTCCTCGGATATCATTTGGAACTGGAATCTGGGTGCCATCACTTCCCAGCTATGTGACCTCGGGACCAGTTATTTAACCTCTCAGATCGATCTCTTCCTCTGTAAAATGAGACCATACGTGTTATAAGGATTAAGGGAGATAGAGCCTGGAGCTTTGTTAATAGTTAACAGATATTATTTATTATTATGACCAGGAGCCCAGTGCCCCACCTGTGTTGGCTGTGAGGAAGGTGGCTCGCCCCTACCCGGCAGGTGCATCTGAGTCCCCAGGCCTGTGGGAATGTTCTGGCAACCCCCCAGGGCCCCATTATGACTTTTGCGGGTTCAAGGCACTTCTGCCTTCATGGGCCCCTTCTTACATTAATATATATATATATGTATATATGCACATATATTTTTATATACACATATATATAATTATATTTTACAACTGCACTGAATGAATCTATCAATGCACCTATATATAATATATAATATACCTATATATAATGTACAATATGTAATATGTTATATTTAATTTATAATAATAT